ACACACACACACACACACACACACACACACACACACACACACACACAGAGAGAGAACAGTACATACAGACATAGGCAGCACATACAGACAGACACACACACACTTGTGAGTGCACGCATGCATCCACACACGCACGTATACACACACAATGCACCACACACACACACACACAATGCATACAAACAGACTGACACACAGGCAGACAGACACATCTATACCCACCCCATATACACACAGACACACAGACACACACACAGGCACTGACACACAAATTTCCTTGTAGTAAGAGAGCTTGATGACCTGACACACAGTGCAGGCAGCCTCTGAGTGTCCCCACAGACACCGCTTGTTTAGACAGATGCGGTGTGGACTTGGGGTGAGAGGATGGTGGTGGCAGTGTTTTGACAGATCTGGCAGGCCGTGCCTAGGCTGGCCCCTGGCCCAGCTGGGGCTGGAGTACATGGATTCCTAGGGTTAAGCTCTTAGGTGAACTGGCTTGTTTTCCCTTTCTAAGTCCTGGTTCGACTAGGTGGGGAGCAGCCGCCAGCACTTCCTGTGAGATGGAGAAGATCTGCAGGCAGCTGAAGAGCCTGGGTCCTTACACAAACACACTCTGCCTCCCCAGAGCACTGAGAGCACGTATGCCCTCTAAGACTCTGCAGAAACCAGTGGACTCTGCTTCTCTGAGGGCAGAAATGGACACCAAGAGTTGAGATGACAGTTCTTAGGGCTCAGAATAGTGGGGACCGGCACCCAGAAGATGCACCTGTGCTCCCGTGGCCACATTTGGTCTATGGGAACTAAAAAGAAAATCAGCCTTTGGGGGGACACTTGGCAGGTACCTGGTGTCTTCTTTGCTCACCTTGGCACTGCAAGTCTAGCTGAGCAGAATGACTTTACGAATATCCTTGTAATGTGGAAGGGAGGGTGTAAATTTTGGGAAATGGCCCTCAGCAGGCAGCAAGCTTCGATGCACAGACATCTCCCTGAGGCAGGACGCCAGCGCAAGTGTGAGCAGACCCAGACTTTGTTCGACACAGCAGCTGGTGGTCCACCGAAAGGCCGTGCTACCACGCTGAATGGCAGAGGAAGCTTGGTCCCTTTGCAGAATTAGTATTGGTGTCTTTTCTAGGTGACCAGGAAGCATGGAACGTATGTTGGCTCTATGCAGGGAGCTGATGAAAGCTATGGAGGCTGCTGGTCAAGTCACTTTGATGGGAAACTGAGTCAAATGACAGTAGTGGTAAAGGTGGCTGAAGTGTGACCCCCAGAGCTCAGGGCTTTGGCGTGTCTGAGTCCTCCCCCAGGCTGCTCTTTTGGCTGAGAATATCCATTCTAAGTATGAGGGCTTTGTAATGGGCACACCTCTGAACAGGACTGAACTATCTAAGGCTCTGATCACAGAAAGGAGAAAGGAGGATGCCATGTGAGGCATGATACACTATCGAATGTGTATCCACAGGAGACATGCAAAGTCTTCAGCATGGAAAGACTGCAGCTCAGGGGAACTCAGGAAAGATCTTGGAGGAGAGGCTCCGCCAATATATACAGTATTTCCTGGGATTAAAATTCTTGACAGATGTGTAGATTTGCAGGAGCCAGCCTAGAAACAGGACAGGTGTGAGCAACACCAAGGAGTCGGAGGAGAGGGTGAATGGAGGAAGGCAAGATGGTATGGTCTCCTCCTGGGATGGAGGTTTGCTTCTAGCAGCAGACAGCAGGGAGCCTGATGTCCAAGTTCTCAGCTTGGCCACACATCGCTATCTCCTGCAGAGCTTACAGCCTGACTGAAACATGGGCTCAGGCCAGAGACTACAAATGAGCGGAACTGGACTGAGTCCAAGCGCTGGGCTTTTCTTGTCAGAGTTCCGAAAGGACACTGCTGTGTGGTGAGAGCTGGGACCACAAGGCAAGTGAGAGCTGTGAAGGTGAGACTTCGAGGTCAGCCTAGACTGCTCAGGCCACCTTCTGTGGGGCGGGGACCAGCTACAGCCTAATGAGAAGCATGAAGGTCAGGAAAGCCAGTGCTGAGAGAGGAGAGGGTGCAGAGGTCAAATCCTCTGCACCGGACAGGCTGGAATGGAGAAAGGAAGCCTAGCCAAGCACCGGCTCCCTGTCACAGGCAATTCTTGTGCGGAGTGTTTCTATATTGTGGGGCACTGTTGACATCTCAGGCCTCTAATCCCTGGCTGTGAATGGCAATGTTGCCAGCTAGCTGTGACATCCAAGAAGATATTTCCATAGCTCGTCAAAGACCCCCTTGGGGATAGAGTCACTGTTAGAGTGACCCTTCCACAGGAAGAATAAGCATCATGGGAGAAAAACAGAGAAAAGGTTGATCAGGATGTTTTTCAGGACCTATGTTCTGTTCCACCTCGCTCAGGATCAGCGCATGGAAAGAGTGTCGGTCACAGGGACGGTGGGCTCCCATGACGTGCTGAAGTAGTTGGCTAAGACATGCTCTCTTGTGCCAAGAGCTCCTCCTTACTGCAGAAGGGTGGCAAGCCGCTCTGATCATCTGCATGCATCACTGGGTCCTGGCACTACAAGGAACCCCTCCTCTCCTTGAGGGTAGGTATCCAAGTGCTTGCCATCAACTGCAAAGGTTGATGAAGGAAGAAATAACACAGGGCACCAGGGCATCAGCAGCACAGAACAGAGTGTGTGCTGCTGAGTGGGAAGAATTGACACTCCCTCTTACAGTGCCACCAGCACATTTTTTGGGTTGTGGGCTCCTTATCTTAGCTCTCTGCACACAGCAGGACCTCACCACCTGTCTCACCTGCTCCGATTTTTGGAAAGGTCCTCATTCTTGTTTTTGGTGGCAAAGACCAACGCCATGAAATCTACGGAGGAAAAGGCCTTTGCCCAGATCTTAAAAATTCCCAGAGGCATCTGGGTGCAGTGACGCATTCCTGTAACTCCAACATTCTGGGAGGCAGAGGCAGGAGGAGCTCTGTGAGTTCAAGGCCAACCTGGTCTTCAAAGTGAGTCCAGGACAGCTAAAGCTACATAGAGAAGCCCTGTCTGAAAAAAACAAAACAAAACAAACAAACAAACAAAAAAATCAAAGGCCTTTTTCAGTATTATTAGTGGACTCTTACTGTCCCTAAAAGTAAATCACATGTCAAATCGTAACAGAAAGATTGTTTGATTATAGATTTTGCAGGTGGAAATGGTGAGGTTTTGCCTACCATAGTATAATACTGAAGGGTTTCCTTTTCACTCTCCTGTTCAAAGACCCTTTCTCCTACAAATGTGTGATTAAAAAGCAGACAACTGCTCAGAGAGAGTGACCTCTCTGAAAGAAGAAACAGTTATAATTTGCTACTCAATCTCGTGCAAATGACAGCTGTGAAGTGAGTCTAGTTTCAAGGTAATAATCACCCCATAAAGCCTTGGGGGGACCCACGCCATGGCTGGATCTGGAGAACCCATGCTGTGGGAAGATGTTACATGGCCCCAAACCCTTGGCTCTGATTCTGGGTTGCGTTCCTGGTTTGGAGGCTGCTCTGTGGCCTTGCACCATTAGTAATGGTTCTGGGGATCTCGCTGTGTACAGGAACTGACAGGTGTCTGTTTGCCATGTTCTTGGGAGCACCATATTCTGTGTCCAAAACCTCAGCTTCATTTTGGAAGGGATCCAAGCAAGTTAATTGTTGGCATGAGACAGCAGTTTGGGAAGACGAAGAAGGATGACTCTGCCTGGACTCTCCTATGAGCTTTACCCAACTCATGTCCCCCCATGACCTACTTTCCCTGGCTTCCTCTCTGGCACTCAGCACGCCTCTCTTCTGCAGTGGGCTGCTTCTTCAACCTTCCCAAATGATGCTCCTCTGTTGCTGAGCCTGGAGATGTGAGCTGGGTCGCACTGCCTGAAATTCCACCGGGGACTGTGTTTCCACTCTGACTCTTCTTTTTTTCCTCTAACAGCAGAGTTTATTTGCCCTTTTCTCGAAGGGTCCAATTGCAGAAGGCTGCTCTGCTTAGCCAGCGGTCCGCTGCATTTTTCAAAACACTGCCTCTTGTGTAAAGTCTGCTCTTAAAGGGACTGCCATCTTTTATAGTTAATGAACATTTAGGGAGAACTTGGTTGGGAGCTGGACAATTTATATGTTGTGCTTTAAGGAGCAATTTTAGAATGGAAGAGGTAAAAGCGTCTACACGATAGCCAGTCAGAACTGAGCTGTGCCTGGATGGTAAATGTAGTCTGTGCATGTGGAACAGGGGCTGTTCATTCCTTCCTTTATTCATTCATTCATTCATTCATTCATTCATTCATTCATTCATTCATT